TCCCACAAGGCTGACCAGTCCTAGCACCTGTGCGAATGACGTACGGGCAGCGGACTGTACGCGTAGACCTGCTACACTGAGCGTACCACTCCTGGAGCTGCCGGGGCGTAAGTGTCTCACGTGGACGTCCCTGCAGCTGCAGCTGGCCACTGCCAGACGCTCCCAACTGACCAGCTCCAGGGCGACAGCTACGACGGCTACCGCGACAACCCCAGCTAGTATACCACTCACTAAGCTGCTGAGGCGTCAGAGGCTCGCCTGAATGTCGCTGGAGCTGCATCTGGCCACCTGCCAGTAGCAGTAGCGCAGGCAAGGCAGGCGCGGCAGGCAGGCAAGCAAGCAGGCAGGCAGGCAGGCCGGCAGGTAGGCAGGCAGCCAGGCAGGCAGGCAGGCAGGCAGACAGGTAGGCAGGCAGGCAGGCAGGCAGGCAGGCAGGCAGGCAGGCAGGCAGGCAGGCAGGCAGGCCGGCAGGCAGGCAGGCAGCCAGGCCGGCAGGCAGGCAGGCAGACAGGCAGGCCGTCAGGCAGGCAGGCAGGCGCTCACCAAAGGCTGGGAGAGCAGGGCCGGCGCTCGAGTAGGCGCACGACAGCGGCGACGTCGGGGCCGCAAAACCGGCTGCAGAGCAGGGCCGAAACAGCTGGAGGGCGGGGCCGCGTCAGCGGCAGTAGCAGGGTGGGGCCGCGTCAGCGGCAGGTCGGGGTCGTGGCAGCTGCAGGGCGGGGCCGCATCAGCGGCAGGTCGGGGCCATGGCAGCTGCTGGGCGGGGCCGCATCAGCGGCAGGTCGGGGCCGAGGCAAAGGGCCGCGCGCGGCCGCGCTAGGGAGTAGCGGGCCGCGCGCGGCTCGGCGCGGGCTGTTGCGGGCCGCGCGCGGGCCGTGCGAGGCAGGAGCAGGCCTCGCGCGGCTCGGCACGAGCTGCTGCGGGCCGCGCGCGGGCTGCGCGAGGCCGTAGCAGGCCGCGCGCGGCTCGACGCGGGCTGCGCGGGCTCGGCGCGGGCTGCGCGCGGCAGCTGCGAGCTGCGCGCGGCTCGGTGCGGGCTGCGCGCGGTTGCAGCGGGCTGTGCGCGGCTCGGTGCAGGCTGCGCGCGGCTGCAGCGGGCTGCGCGCGGCTCGGTGCGGGCTGCGCGTGGCTGCAGCGGGCTGCGCGATCTCGGTGCGGGCAGCGCGCGGTAGCAGCGTGTGTGCGGGCCCGACAGGCGTGTAGAGGCGGCGCGCGGGCCTTACGGGCCTCTAGGGGCAGCGCGCAGGCAAGGCAAGGCAAGGCAAGGCATACAAGGCAAGGCAAGGCTACGTGGGGTAGCGCGGTAACCGCAGCGGTAGGTGGGCCCGAAAAAAAAAAACGGTCCTACGGACCTTAGTGCTCTGAAACCATGTTAGAATCTAGCAGCAGGAATGAATGAACTAACAGGATGCAGGAGTACAAGTAGTAAACCCTAACTAGGTTGTACCCCATATGGGCTACCCCACTACAGCCTAGACAATATGCAGCACATATAGTTTGACACTGTTTACCATAGTGCTGCCGAAACACCATCAGCTAGCAGGTCTTTGAGATTCAGGAAATCCGCTTCTGCACACATGTCAAGCAGTGATTGGTTGCAGTCCAGCAGACCATCAAGGTGAGAGAGGTGATTTGCTGCAGCGGCAGGGTCAGCAGGGTCAGCAGAATGGTCAGCAGCATGAGCTGCAGCAGTACCAGCAACAGCAGCAGCTGGAGCGGCATTATTACAGTCAGCTTGAATCATTTCCCATTCCTCCAGCCCGTCAGCACATGATACAGCACCTCCACCACCAGTAGCAGCAGCACCGGCAGCAGCGGCAGTGGGGCAGGTTGGAAGCGGTTGAGATGGTAGAGGTTGCGAAGGAAGAGCAGCTGCAGGGAAAGGGTTATCGGCTAGAAGCTTCTCCAGGTGCTGATACAGAGCAGCTGCTGCTGCTGCTGCAGACACACCACCACCACTAACATCAGCTGCAGCGGCAGCAGCAGCAGGAGCAGGAGAAACAGCAGCAGGAGCAGCAGGAATAGCAGCAGGAGTAGCAGCACCACCGCTACCACCAGCACTAACACGGGCAGCAGCCGCCGGAGCATGGGGTAGAGTTGCTGCTGCTGGTTCTGCAATCGTCAACCCGTCTGCCTCACCGTAACCAGGTGGTAACCAGGCCCACGGATCAGGCACTTGACAGTTGTCCGTTACCTGACGGTCGTCTGTCATAGGTTCATGCTCAACTAGAGAGTCTTGATCCAGGCCAGTGGACTTGCCAGCTGGCTCGTTTGCATCCTCGAGTGCCACGTCAGCAGCTGCTGCCAGCTCAGCAGCAGACACCGACCTTCCGAAAACAGCCTCGTTGCCAACGGTTGTTCCGCTGCCCGAGCGGCAAGGCTTGGCAGGATTTGCAACAGGGCTGTTGAGTGCAGGGTGGCAAAGACTCATCAAGAGCGCGTGCAGGGAGGGGACCGGGCCGGTGGGTGGGGTTGGAGCAGGAATGGCAGCAGCAGGAGTGGCAGCACCAGGAGTGGCAGCAGCAGGAGTGGCAGCAGCAGGAGTGGCAGCAAAAGAAACTGAAGCAACTGGAGCAGCAGCAGGAGGAGCAGCAGCAGCATTGGGAGATTGCTGGGTGGAGAGGGAGGGGTTGACGGCGCTAGAAGCAGTCATGCTGCTGGTGTCGGTCATGTCTGGTAACGGGGTTACCACCTGGCCTTGCAGCTTCTCGGATAGCAGCTTCAGGAGAAGGCTGATGCTGGCAGCGTTAGGATCTGTGGCAGTAGAAGCAGTGGCAGCAGCGGGGGCAGGGGTAGTGGGAGGTGGGGGAACAGGGGGAGAAGGGGGAGGAGGGGGAGGAGGGGCAGTGGGGGCAGCAGGGGGGGCAGTGGGGGCAGCAGGAAGGGGAGCACGAGCAGATGGGGCAGCAGACGAAATGCTTTTCACGTTTTGATTCTGCTGCTGCTGCTGCTGCTGCTGCTGCTTCTGTTTTTGTTGCAGTCTTTGTTGCTGTAGCAGCAGCAACTGTTGCAGAAGCTGATTACTCTGCTCCTCCTCCTGCTGCCGCTGCTTTTCCTTCTGCTGTTTCTCTTGCTGCTGCTGCTGCTCCCTTCGTTGCTGCTCCCTTTCTTCCTCCTCCCGCTTCTGCTGAAGCAGCAGCTGTTGCTGTTGTTTCTGCTGCTGCAGTTGCTGCTGCCTCTGCAGTAGCTGCTGCTGCAGCTGCTTCTGCTGCTGTTCCCTCAACCTTCGCTTCTGCTCCCTCTCTTCCTGCTCTGGCTTCTGCTGCTGCTGCTGCTCTTGCTGATGATCCTTATTATTCTGGCCTCCTACCTCCTCCTGCCGACCTCCTTCCTTCTGCTGCAGCAGCACCTGATATTTTCTCAGCAGGCCCAGTAGCCTCTCTTTCTCCTCCTCATGCTGCCGCTGCTGCTGCAGCCGAATCTCCTCCTCCCGCTTCTGCTTGTTCTGAGCCGCAATCGCCACTGCTGCAACGACCGTCGCCAACGCCACCAGCGACTGCTCGCGATTGCCACCACCGCACTGGTTACCAGAGTCGCTGTGGTTACCACCAACACTCTGGTTATCGACTTCACTCTCGTTACCACCGCTAGGGTGGTTACCAGCACCAGAATTAGGGTTACTGGCGTTTTGTAACCGACTAAGCTCTGCTGCCAGCTTTTCCATACAGATATCCGAGCCTAGTGCCGAACCTAGTGCCGAGGCTAGCGCCGAGTCTAAGGCTGGGGGTACAGCGCTGGAGTGGTTGCCACGTGGCGACGCGGCAGAAGAGGAGCTTGGATACGCGGGAGGTAGCTTGGCGGAAGACTGTTGGGCGGGCAGGCGCGCGGGGAGCGCAGCGAGCAGGAGAGGGGAGAGGGAGTTCTGATGTGCTGATCCGGGGGAGACCCCGCTGCTGCTTCCGCTGCTCACTCGCGCGGCGGCTGCTCCTCCGCCAGTTCCGCGGGTTCCGCCACTAGGCGGGGAGAAAGCATTAGCGGAGAGTTGCGCGCGCGGAGACGCTCGCGGAATGCCAGCTTCGCGCGGAGCTCCCTCCGAAGCGGAACTTCCACCGCGCGGGCTTGTGAACAGCGGAGGCGGAGCGCGCGCGCGGGGAGAGGTGAGTGGAAGAGGAAGCTGTTGCGCGGAAGAATACCCGCTCGTGGGGGTGCTGGCCGGTGCGGTAAACCCGGGAAATTCTCCTTTATTAGCATCCCCGCTATTGGCGGAAACACCCGTTGGGGTGATCGCGAGGCTAGGGCTTGGAAAGGCATCCCACGAAGCGGAAGAGAAACTTCCGGCGGCAGTGCCGGCGGGAGACGCGGAGGCGACGCCACGTGGCGTGATGGGGCAGCGGCGACTCGAGCCGAAGGTGCGGGGAGCGCAGGGGGAGATGGCACCGGGGGAGACGAAGCACGAGTTGGCGCGAGCGCCGGGAACGGCGGCGGGCGCGCTGCTGACATGGCCGGTTTCCGCGGCTGGAAGAACGAGCGGTTCGGGATCGTCGCCTGTGACTATATCGAAGTCCGTCTGTAGTTGAGTCAGATTTAAACGGCACTTTTTCGCCTGCAGGGGACTCGAGAATACGGCCGCCGAGTCGCCAGCTGTTGCTGTACGGCGGGGCGAGACGGGCGCCGCGTCGAGCGCCGAAGTAGTCGCGTTAGCGTTGACGTTAACGTTAACGTTAGCGTCTGACGTAATTGGCGCCAGCGGCGCGGGCGACGGGCTCAAGTTCCCGGATTCCGTCACGCGAATCGGGTTGCACTCGCTCTTCGGCTGCTGCTGTTGTTGCGTCCGTGGCTGACGGAAAACGTTAACGTTTTCATTGCCGGGAACGGCTGCGCGCCTCGATCCCGGCTCCTGATTGGCTGCGCCGACAGGAGACCACACCATCAAACCCTCCATCGAGCCGGCGCGCCTTTTAGGCGCGGAGCACCGCTTCTCCTCCACACCGTTATACGCATACTCGTTATCGTCACATCCGACGTTACTCATACTGCACGACCGCTTATGACCCGGCGAGATGATAGCAGACACAGCAGCATCGACTCTGTTCCCCGAACATGACTGGCTCGTTTTCAAGGGAATCGGCTTTTCCGAGTCGCAGGTGTTTCCGGCGGCTTCACGCGACTCCGTCATCTCGCAGTCCGCCGCGGCGCTCGCGGCGGGAATCGCGGCGGAGATGGCGGCGGCGACGGGAGCGGAGATGCTAACCGGGTCCTGCGGGTTCCACCGATTGCGGATGCGGCGGTACGTGGACGGGGGCGCGCCGGACGCGCCGGATGCGGCGGCGGATGCGGCAGCGGCGGTGCCGGAAGGCGGAGACGAGTGCTCGGGCTGCCGCTCGCTGGGGGACTTTCCGCTGGCGGCGTTGCCGGCCGCGCCGGCGGCGGACTTTCCGCGGAGGTCCTTGGGCATTGCGCCGGTTTCCGCGTGGTTGTGCGCGCCCGAGTACTGCGTGCGTGAGTTGAGCGGATGGTCGGGATTCACGTCGACGACCTTCTTCGCGACGCACGGCACGGCCGCCTTGGACCACGCGCACTTGTAGTAGGATCTGCGGTGTGGGGGGACAAGGGGGAGGCGAAAAAGAGGAGAATTTAGCTGACTTGCGTATACAACTCTGAACACAACTCCGTACACCACGCGCACTAGTAGGATATGCGCGGGGAAGGGGGGGCGGGGGAGGAGAGCGGGGAGGGGAGGAGGGGGGAGAGTAGGGGGAGGACGGGGAGAAAGAAGACTATGGAGTGAATGTCTTGAGAAACAAACCGAAACACAGTCCTTATATTTTATCTTTGCTTCTTTCTTTTTTCTGTTTAAGGTGATAATTTGACGCTGCGCGATAACGGATCGAGAAGTCTTACCGGAGGAGCGACTTCTCAGTGACGCGTTTCTCGCCATACTTCAGCCAGCAGTAGCCGTCAGCGTGGACGATTTCCGTCAGGCGCGCTGCGGCTCGGAGCAGCAAGCCGTCTTGATGGACCTTCCTCGCGGCGTTCGGCGACGGGAGCTGCGCCGATTGCGACGACGAAGCGTTCGGCGTGTTTCCCTGAAGGCCGGCAGCAGCGGCGCCGGCGCCGGCGGAAGCGGAAGCCGAGGCGGAAGCGGAAGCGGCGGCGGTGAGAGTGGTGGCGCAACTTCCGGCGATCATGGTGGAGCTCGCCGAGCCGCCTTGGATTTGAGGGGAGTTGCTGCGGACGGCAGCATGACTCTGCCGTCCGCGATGTTCGCGAACGTGGTAACCAGGATCATGCGCACGATCGCTCATTGCGGTGTCTGTGTCGTTGAGACAGGCGGCCATGGCCGCCGAATCTGACGCTGATGGTGATGTTGACGCTGAAACCGATGTTTGGCGCTGATGCCGCGTGATGCTGATGGCGGTGCGGACGACGATGCTGTCTGCAAGTTTGTGTTTCCTCGGATTATGGGACACACTGGCGCTGATCTGCTGGTGTTCTCGCCGCCGCACCGTTGGCGGATTGGTTAGTTTCGTAGTGACTTCTGGTACCTTTTTGGCCGTGGTGCGCCAAAAGAATAACACCACTCTGACCCCAAGCGCACGCAGCAGATCAAGTGGAAAACACAACTCGCGAGGAGGGGGGTCGGTCGCTCTTCCTGGCGGATCTTGGAAGGGCGACGGCGGCCCGCGGCAGTGACGATGGCGCGTGCAATGTTTTGCTGGAGTTGTGGTAGTGATACTGTAACGACGGGAGTGCGTCGCGCCAAAGGAGGTGTAAAGAGCTGATGGTCGGTCGAGTGAGGGGAGCGCACGTAAATGTCGGCGTGAGTAGAATATTCGCAGGTGGGGCTGGTGAATTTAGAAACAGAGTCGTCACAAGCAGGAATGGAAATGGGGCTCGTTGCATGAATGGCGAATGCTCAAGTACTCCGCCCCGTGTGTCAGTGGAGTTAGCGCTCTGTTCTTTCAATGAGACTTCTTGATTTTTGAAATGGTTTTGTGAGATGCTACAAGGTTGTGCGAGATGCTACGAGGTTTTGCGAGATGGCTTTAGGAGGTGTTCCCCTCCGTGCCAACCCATCTCATTTTGAATGCCAACAGCTGGTGGTCACCCGAGGGCGGCCATGGAGCGCCTGGCGCAAAGTGAAGGGCAGAATAGATGAAATTTGAACTCGAAAAACAATAGCTTGCTGTCGTTTCACATCCCATACTCCCGCTTCCCCCTGCTCTCAGATGTTAGCTTTTCGTCCAGGTGTTTCCAGTGTGGGGAACACAGTGGGGGAAAGATTTCGTTCATGCGACAGATTCAGCGCCAGTGTGGAAAGAATGCAAAACAGCGCAGCACATCTCCACATGCTAGGAAATGTTTATCTAGAAGGAATTGATTTGCCTCAAAATGTTTGCCTCCTTGATAATAAAAACATTGGTGGACGCTTTGAGAGTTTCTGATAAGGACAGAGTGGACCAGTGGATAAAGAGAAACAGACTTTCCTTGCCTTCCATCAGACTTTCCTTGCCTTCCTCAGTCTTCAAATCAGGTCAGGTCAATTGGCAGGTTCTGAAAAGAGATGTGCCCGTACTGTATGCGGCGTTGAGCAGTCAGTCACTCACAACAAACCGCATTGTGTGCAGTCCGTCGTGTAGTTTATCGGACATGCGAGGGGGAAGAAAGTTGTGTTCTCGAAATGTTCCAGGAGGGGTGCGGAGCGGACGGTGCGGAGAGGTTCATATCGCCCATTCCCAAAAGCCCCCCTCCCCCCCCGATCTCCCCTTTCTCCCCTCCCAAACCTGCCTTTCCGCACCTGCACAGCTGTGACGCTCGCGCAAATAGGGCCGTCTGCCAATCGGAGAGCTGTCAGAGGAGCGAAAAGATGGGGCCGAGAAGCCTGGCGAGGGCTGTACGACACCAATCGTCGCCGAAGGACTCTCCTCATCAGCCCTGCCTTGCGCCTCTTGTAAAGCTGACAGGCAGATGACAGTGATGAGTGGGCGCGAGAGGAATTGGGGGATCTCATCATCCATTCGTTACGAGTTTCATCGACGAATCAAAAGCTCGGCGCCGCCCGCGATTGCGGTCGTGCGAATCGCAACGCAAAGCAACAGCAAGCGCCTGGGGAATGGACGGTGCGTTTAGTGGTTGAAAGAAGGGAGACCAGAGTAAGGTTTCGGGGGGTTGTGGACGGGGAGGAATTGGAGGGAAGCAGTGGACGCGGATTGAGGGAGTGTCCAAAGTGCTGCATAAGCTCGACGTCGAGGAATGTTGGTGAATCCTGACGGTCGGAACCGTTGATCCGAGGGCTGACATTTACCGACATAACTCAGATGTCACTTTGGACACGCCTTTATGGGGAGAGGTTACGTTGCGTTGCAAGAAAGGACGGGAAAACGGTGCAGTACTGTACAGTTGACCGCCTAACTTATGCGATCAACAATTTCCAGGAAGCCTGGAAGCCAAATTCAGGCAATCAGGGGCAATCAGCTAATTGCGATCAACTGATCGCCCCAACTCGATCAGACCCGATTTTCACCCCGATCAGAAACCGATTTTCCTCCATCACAGGCGATCACTTGATTGCATGTGATCGGGGCCCACAGCGGCGGTGGCGAGAAGTTACAAAGTTGCACTTACATGGAAACTAATGTTTTTGCCAGGTGATGTCTGGTCGCAGATCCCGCTAGAATGGGGACCAAAATGCCAGGAAAATGTACGCGCTTGCTGAGCACTTGCTGAGCAGGCGGTGAAAATCTTCTCCAAAAAAACATCTCTGATTGGGCAGCTCGCAACTCGAACAGATCCGACCCGATCATATAAGTCGCGATCAAACTCGATTGACCTAATTTGTGGGTCCCTGTTCGACGGTCAGTTGGGTCGGACGACTAGACTGTACCGGAACTAAACAAAGGTGTGGTTCGCTTCGATTAAATGTCATTACAGTTTGTCCATTATCTTTACGACCTATTGGCACACCGTCGAAGCACTTACAACGCAATTGGCATCCAGCTTCCCTACGGGTTAGGCGATCTATAACGAAATTCAATAACTCGTTGGACCAATGGTTGCGAAGAAACCATGCCTCACTGGATTTGCAATTCGTACGTGACTGCAAAACGAAAATTAAGCGAGGTTTATTGATTCATTAGATCTAGTAACCTGTCGCAAGGCGGTTGGGTTGGGTCGTGTCGACCTGGTCAAGCCAACCTGATTAATCCGGTCGGGCAGACCCAACTCGACTTGGCTGGGTCGAGCTGGTTGGCTTTTCCCGCAACGCAGCCTTCCTAGAAATGATATCGCAACACGTCATTATCCAGGCAGTAAACACTACCGAAGGCATCCTCTGGTACACCTAGGATTGTATATGGCAAGGTCGGGTCAACGGCGACTCGTTGTTGCTATTGCGCCCTTACCTTGTCGTTGGAATCTAGGCCGTACATCCTAAGAAGGTGTCTCATGTGACTGGTCCGCCCCGAACCAGTCCGTTGCTAAAATGTGCACGCCTGGTCCGGAATCTTGGTCCGACGGACCCACTTGGCGGATCAGGCGTGGACCAGACACGGACTGGTCCATATGATACATCGCGTCACAGACTATAGAATTTTTGCGAAAAGCGTGCTGAAATCAAGTTACTTTATTTTTGTGCCAGGAAAAAAGTTCCATCCCGTAGAGCACGAAAATAACGAATGGTGAGAATTTTCGCAACTCAAACTGGGAGCTGCTACAGTCATATCAATGGCAACATATCAGTGCCTTTCGAGATTAATAATGGGGTTAAAACGCCCGCATCCTGGCCCAGTCCGTCGCTTGTTCAGCGCTGGTTCTAGAGCTGGTCCGTCGGATCCACGCCGGACCCACGTGGACTTGCTCATTTGAGACACGTCCTTATCTTGTTAAGGTTGCGCCGTGCGGCGGTGAGCTTTCGTGCGTTGCGTTGTTCGAGAACCCCCCCTGGGCATGGGAGATTTACTCGTTGGTTACTGACTCGAAAAGAGGGGGGGCGAGGACGGAAGTCACATTTTGCTAACCCGGAAAAGAGGGGGGGCGAGGACGGAAGTCACATTTTGCTGACTCGGAAAAGAGGTGGGCAAGGACGGAATGCATGTCGAAAATTGGGGTAGGGTAGGGGAGAACGTGCAGTGCAATGCAGTTGCTGCTTTTTCTTTCAGGTGATTTTTCTCTTCTGCATATCCTGACAGCTTATCTGACAACTTGACTCACACAACAGCAGCCATGCAGAAATCTTCTTGTACTGTACCACCAGCATTCACTCTCAGTCTCCGCCGTCGCAGCCGCGCGATTGGGGGAGCTGTTGGAAGCGTTTGTCGCCCCTGTGCGACAGGGGAGTTGTTTTTCTCCCAGCTTCCAGCCTTCACGACTCCAATGTGTAGACAGACGGAAGGGGTTGACAACTTGGCTTCCAGCTACAATATGTACAGTACAAGCATCAGCTTGGCTTCCGAGTCTGGAAACTTTGCTCCACCACACATTTTCATTCTTGAAAAGCCACACATGTGTTCCGTCGGGCTGCCGCTGTATGCAGCAGGATACAGTACGATACATGCGACAGATGTCAAAGACTCGCGCTGGTTGGTCA